TATAGAATCTTTAAATATCTACTCATAAACGAGAAACCCGAGGAGAAACCCCATGAAACACGAAAATGGGAGACACCCTGTGCATCATTGTCACCAGTATAAGAAGCGTCAGTAAAACCACTATAGGCATAAATCAGCCCTACACTATACATCACATTATGTACAGGGTGGCGCCCCTAATACGCCGCGGAAGCTCCAATGAGAACGGTGGTTTATATCGAAATGAAATTTTGGCAGCATAATATGTAGATTAGCTGAAAGCGTTTTATAAAAATATATAGAATTATACAGGGTATCTGATTTTGACATATTTCACATTTTGTGAAAATGAAGAGTAAATTTTAAATTGTGATAACAACTACCTAAATTTTAGTTGACCTTGTATAGCCTGATATTTAATTACAGTAACCATTGTATGTTAAACCAAATTGAAAATTTGACCCGAAAAGTTATACAGGATGAGACAAAATTAATATGGAACATTAGTCACTTTTAATAACAAGTTGCTCCTTTATTTTAAATGGAACACCCAGTATATTTTTCAGGTGTTCAATAGGGAATTTATAGATCTTCAAAATATTATTAAGGTTGCCTACCCCAGACCCCTCAGACAAATATTTTCCTAGAGATTTGATTTTTTATGATTTTGCGTCAGTAGATCTTTATTATTTGAAAAAATTTAGGGTGGCCATGTAATATATCTTTTGCTAATTTAACAAAAATTAAAGATTGTAAAGTAAAATACTCAACGGTAATAAAAAGATACACCGTTTAAAACATATTTTAACTAATACAACATTAAAACTACTAAACTAGATGAAATCAAATGCTCAAAATGCTTCCTTTCCTGTTAACTACATAAAATGATTGTCTTTTCAAAAGGATCTTTTCATTTTAAAAGGCATAATTTTTATGTGGAGTTCTACCTCGAAAAGCAGCTACAATAATTTCTCTCATGTTGTCGACAATAATAGTTGGTCGAGTTTTGAAACACTGTCTTTAACATATCCCCATAAAAAGACAGCCTAGATAAAATCAGGAGCATTTTAGTATTCTATTAATTATTGGTGAATGCACACCGCATTTACCAACTAATAGAATCATATCAATTCTCTCTGATGTAGGATAAGTTTGCATTTTCGGCAAATTTCTGAGAAATGTTTTTGTTTTAACTGACACAAAATGATAACTAGTTGTTAAAGTTGGACTAATTAGACAGCTATGTTGAAGTAACGTCAGACATATCACAGCTACCTAGATTTTATCAATTAATAAAGATCTAGGTACTCAGATCAAATCATGCAAATAAAAATATCTAGGAAAATCTTTGAGGGAGCATTAGGCAACCTTATAGTATTTTGAAGAAACATGAGTTCTCCATTGAATATCGAATAATATACTAGGTGTTCCATTTAAAATAAAAGAGTAACATGCTTTTAAAGGTGGCCAATGTTCAATATTAATTTTGTCTCACCCTGTTTAACTTTTTGAATCAAGTTTTAATTTGATTTAAAGTACAATAGTTAATTTAACTACATATTAGGCTATACCGGATAAATTCCAATTTAGGTAGCTTTTATTGCAATTTAAAAATTGTTCTTTATTTCTAGAAAATGTTAAACATTTCAAAAACCTTACATTTTAGTCATATACTTCTCGTATAAAACTCACCTTTATTTTTCTCCCAGAATCCGAAAATGCATTAATATATAGGGTGTTCAATTACAAAAAACACAACTTTGATATGTAATTTTTTTGGGGGACACCCTGTAGAACTCTCTATACTTTTAAAAAGTGCTCTGAATTAACTTACAAAATTTCATTTCGATACAAACTGTAGTTCTCCTTGGAACCTCCGCGGCGTATGAGAGGCGCCATGCCACCCTGTATATTTAAATCTATTAACTAAAGACGAGGAGTAACGTGACTAATAAGTTAATTTAACTGGATATAGGGGTTGTTCGCACGCCCTAACTTTGTTGTCTTCCTAATTGATACCAATATAAAGTTACAAAATACCCTCGAAAATACCCGAGAAAGTCCTATTAACCATAACCAACATGATGATACCATTGGCTTTAAATTTTGACTAAAAAAGTTCCTATGTTTGGTATAGCTAATGTATGTATATATGGTACGGAGCAGTGGCGGATACAGAGGGAGGGCCTATGGGGCCCGGGCCTCCCTAAAATCTGTAAATTGGGTTAAATATTAGCCTTTTGGGTTAAAAATGGCGCCCTAAAAAGCATATTCTACATAATTGTTTTATTTGCCCCCCCCCCCCTAAAATAAATGCCTGTATCCGCCTCCGTTACGGAGAAAGATGTAAAGCCGGCTTTTGACAGTAATGATTGATCATTAACTATGTCATATGTATGTCATTAACGTAAAAAACAACGAATGTCAAAGTCAGTTAGGGCAGTTAGGGAGAGTTCAGTGCAAAAGAGCATGAAAAGAGCTAACAGAGACATGGGGAAATGTTAGCATGTAGTCTAATAGCTGTTGTATTTTATTTCCCAACATTATGTGGTCAATAACGTTAATGCCCGGAGAATGACTGACAAAAGCCAATAAAAGGGTAAGATTGTCATGACATTGTCAACATTACTTACCCTTGATTCATTCTACTTATATTATTCGTACTAAAACGATATTATTCGATGGAATTGAGTACTTACATTACAGGCCGTGTGTTATCTTAAACACCCTGTATACATCATTGTCCGTAACGTATACAAAAAATGTATTTTCTTCATGACTTCATTGTCCTTTAGCCGAAAATTGTAGAATGCCCCTACAGTTACAGCAACTTTTCCCGACCATAATTTAATTTTTAATTCCAACATCCTCAAGAGTCTCGTAATGCAAAAAATACATTATTTCATTCCCCCGCATGTCAAAAATAAAACTTAAGTGAATTACAGCTTGAATAATTTAAACACACTCAAATGTACTACTACTACTACATGGCATATGTAAAATAAGAAAATAAGCAATAACTAAATAAAATAATTATGTATGGTTAAATAAATAGGTATAATGAATATGTATGTATAACGTTAATAACGTTAATAATTAATTTTCGAAGCTGATATTTTACCTCATGAATTAATTAGGCATTTAAATTAATTTTATGTTTTTGAGACATACAAATTAACCTAAGAAATTAACATATCAGAATAATCACTTTCATTCATTTTAAAACAAATAGGTACTAACTAATAGCTCAATAATGTTTGTTTTTGGTCATTAAAAAAAGATAAAAATGAATTTTATTCTTGCACAATTAATGAATCTGGTTTTACTCTTTCATAATATTTATTAATTGCTTAAATTAATAGATAAAGAAAAAAGTATACTGAAATAATTATTTGTTGATGAGTAATAATCTGTGTATGTAAGTACCCGAAGTACGACAATACATTACAAATTAGGTACCTCTATAAATTAGATATTATGAAATAAATTAGCCACTTTTTATATCATCAAAACAAATACATATTTACATACAGGAAGCAGATGAGTGATAACACCCCTTGCAATCATGTTCTCAGTAAATGCAATATGAATCATTTGAACAATAGAAAAACAAGTTTCTGTAAAAAGTAAATTCATAACAAAATCAAAATGCGATTGGCTTAACTTATATCTTTCAAAATTATTCTAAAAATTACCTTTAAAATCAGTGAAAATCCAAACAATTTTAGAAAAAAACACAAAAACACCCACTCACTCCGACAGTCAAGCAAAACTGACTTTTTATAAAATTTAACCTGAAGATGGCGCCGTCAAAAAAGTCAATAAATTTAATGTTCTCCGCAACCAACTTTACACCACTTTCAAGCGTGTTACATACCTACCAACATGTAAATATTTTAAATTTTAATTTTTGATTTTAATGATTCCAATCAGAATTAAGATTTGGACTTTGGATTTGTTTGGAATGAGAATTCAAAAATTAATTCATTTTTAAACTTTTATCAAAATAATATCCCAATTATAAAAAATCTAAATTTCATCCAGCGTCGTTTCATCCATAAAATAATAAATATAAGAGTTTCATTCACTAATAATTATTCTGAAAATACAAATATAAAAATAACATGAAAATAACTGGTTTGTGATATCTCCCTTTAGAATTTATAGAAAGCAGTATAATAGTTTATTATAATAAGCATAAAAAATGTGGTACCAAAATGAATCTGAAAACGGGAAATTATTATAAGCTTTTTCTATTTGGGAAGAAAATAACTTAGGTATATTAGTAAGATATTAAAATATATTATTTATAAAACGAAAAATAATTTGTCACATTCTGTTTCAGCTTTTATTATATTAAATATTAATCTGATATTAAATATCAAATAACAATTTAAAAAAATACCGAAACGCCGCCAGAAGATCTTAAAACGTTTTTTCCTTAGGGTGCAACCACACTATCCTAAAAACGGCGTATCGGCGTAACGGCGTAACGACCTTGAATCTATTTCCAGTAATTCTATTGGCTGAAATTTTTGACAGATAAATTTGACAGATAAAATTTCTGACAGATGAATGTTTCAGCCAATAGAATTACTGGAAATCTATTCAAGGTCATTACGCCGTTACGCCGATACGCCGTTTTTAGGATAGTGTGGCTGTACCCTTAGACAAGGTTGGACAAGGTTTTTTCTGTGGCTAATGCTACGCTGGCGTTATCTAGTGGTGAATGACGGTGAATCGAAACTAGAATCCCATAAAGTAATCTATAATTTCCTCTAGTTATTATTTTAAATTTGGTATTTTTTAAAAGCAATAAATAAAATCTTAAAGAATATAAAAAAATAAAGCAAGTAAAAAAGGAACATTCTCAATTTAATTTGAATTTTTTATGAAGTTTAATAATAAAAATAGATTATTTTTTTGAATATCTGTTACTTTGTTCAATACACCTAAATTTCCTATTTCTCGACAAAGACAGAACATACACATTTTGTGACGCAACTTTTAAATGAATTCGCTATTGAAATCGTATGACATGATGACAAATAATCTAATTTGACAAATGGCGTTCAAAGATGACAATTGAGTGTATCTGTTAGCAGAAAAGTTAGTGTTTCTAAACTAAATCGGAATAAATGAAGTCGGAAAAATGATTTAAAACGTGATTATGTGCGATCTATCTTACGGGAAATCGAGCTCGGCTGGAGAATTATTAAATTGCAACGAAATGACTCTTGAAAACGGTGTTCAGGAACACTCTTCTCTTAAAAGGTCTTTTACGTTACCTAGAAATCCTTTTAATTCGAGCAGGATGTCAAAAAGAAGGCCAAAAGCGAACGAAAACGAATCCGATATTAAAATTGTGAACGGGGATGCTGATAAAACCAATAAGAAAGTTTTTAGGTAAGCAACCTTGTTACCATTTACACTGATGGTAAACAAGTATGATTGAGAAAATGTTTCTTCCTTTTAAGGATTATTTTAAGTCACTGTAATAAGTATTCTAATTATACCTTATTTTCTTTACAGGCGTCCCTCCATAAGAAAGTTTATTAATAAAATTGCTCAGCATATTAGTGGTGTCCCAGGGATAAATCAAAATCTTGAAAATAATCGAGTACCACCAGTGGGTTTTCAAACGTGGGGCCCTGATGATACTCCAGGTGTAACGGGCTTAAAAAATCACGGGAATACGTGTTTTATAAATGCAGTGCTCCAGTGCATATCTCATACAGATGTGTTGGCTGAATATTTTGTATTAGACAAATATAAAATTGATTTATCTAAACGTAACAAATTAAATTCCAAAAAATTTGGTACTAAAGGTGAAGTAACAGAACAGTTGGCATTGTTATTAAAAGCATTGTGGGCTTGCCAATATAGTCCCGAATTAAGCACAAATTTTAAGCAAGTTGTGGAAAGACACGGTTCCCAATATAAAGGAAATCAACAGCACGATGCATTAGAATTTCTACAGTGGTTATTGGATAAGGTCCATGAAGACTTGAACACTGCATCTAAGAAAAAATATAAGAGTATTAAGGTAAGTCATACAACTAGTTAATATATTGATTGATTGTTTTTGATTTTTCAATTATATGTGATTATGAGTTATGTTTTATCAGTTCTATAATATTCATAATTACGTTTTGTTATGGAGATTTTAATCCTGAAATAAACTGACAAATTGTTATTTTAAAACTGGATTTGCTCTAATGAATCAAGGTTGTAACATCCTCTTCAAAATTCACAACATTTATTACCGAACCAGACAGGGACCTTGAAAAACATAAATTTTACCACCTTGACAGCGATGCATTGAATCTTAGAATTAATTAGATAAAATTCATATGATTAGATAAGGTCATAAATTAAACAGTACCTACTACTTTTTTATACAACCATCTATGGTACAATCTTATTGTTAATCTAAGGTACAACCCTAAATCTAAATAATAAAAAATCATTTATTTTATTTTGTTGTATTTAAACTCATGTTTAAATCAATATTTGCTCTATTATTCAGATGCATTAATAAGTATAGGGACACATATCCATTAAAAATGGTTTTATTTATTTTATTAGGAATGTATAGATGTAGATAACTATAGATAACCTAACTGTTTCAATATTCAATAAGTAGTGGTGGATAAAAAAAAGAATATATCTATACTTACTTAAATCAATTTAAGAAAACTGTATTTTGCAGATACTCTGTCAGATTTGTAGCTTTGAAGTACAATATGATCCAAAAAGAAACGGCGTTAGAGGAGGCTTGGAAATGAAGACTCCTGTCATTTTATTTCTAATGTAAAATTATATGGGATCATCATTTCAAAGCCATCTCGACGCCGATTTTTGGATCATACGGTATGTAGTCATGTATGTGTAATTGTAACATAAAAAACAATTTTTTCCTTTTTTTATTCTTATTTTATACAGGGTGTTTCAAAAAACATGTGCCATCACACGGAGTATTGTTGTGGTATTGTACCTAAACGATTAGATTTTTACAAACTGTAAATTTTGGGTTCGTTGACGGACTATTAGAGCTACAATTTAAAAATATTTTTACAAGATACAAACCAAATAAATAAAAAATATCAAAGTTGTATTTTTTTAATGTATGGGAGAGGGTTAAAAATTTTAAAAAAACTCCAAAATTACAGTAGCTATCTAAACGCGGTTTTCAATTTAAGATTAGGAATAATATTTGCAACAAAATTTGTAATAACATCAAAATCAGTCAAAGTCCCAGTTTTGAGATATTCCGTGTTTCCGTAGTCCGTTTTTGAGAAAATCCCTGTGGAGAACTCCCATCGGACGCGACACGCGACCCCAGGTGGCGGATAGGGGAAATAACCGCGGACCAAAATTGGAAGAATTCCTTTACTTTGAAACTAAAAGAACTGCCTACCAACTTTATATTAACATATTTTAGTATGGGCGGCTATACGTGCTTCCCGGCGCCAATTTTTTAATATTAATTAGGTGTATCTCATCAAGGAGACTAAAATCGACAAAATATTAAGAGACAGCTTTTAATCGGCATTAAACAGTTTACATATAATTTTGCTAAGAAAAGAAAAAAGTCAGTGACGCACAGTTTTTACAAAAATATTCCACTGGTAACCCTTATGTACGTCCCTGGTGAATAGCACTTGTAAGAAATTGATAATAAATCGAAAAAAACTGAAGAATTTAACCCCCTGTAGATCCGAAACAAAGCAGGATCTTATTTTTACATGAGGAATGTCTCTACGAGAGATGGCACATGTTTTTTGAAACACCCTGTATGCCCAATTGTTTCAAAACTATAACACATTTTATGAAATATCTACTGGTAAGGTAATTGGCCTGAAAATTCTTTGTTTACCTAATTGATACGGTAGGATAAAGGTTTATGTTATACAAATTAGAACTACTTAATAATCTTCCAAAATGTTGGTTTATATCAACGTCGTACGTAACTGGAATGATTTCATAAGCTTATTAGGAAAATAGATGTGGGTAGAATGCATATACTTATACAAGGTGTGATCGTTTAAAATTTTTGTACCGGAATATTGCTAAAATAAAAACTTACATATATATCGTTGAAATAAAATTAGGGTATTTAAGTAAACTTAAATTTCAGTAGTCAAAATGTATTGTTAGAAGATTAAAATTCTTTAAAAATATAATATACAGGGTGGCGCATCTCATTCGCCTCTGTTGATTATACGAAAACGGACAGATATAGAAACAAAATATTTTATGGGTATATGTGGGGAGGCAATGTGCACAATTTAAAATTATTTTGAAATATACAGGGTGTTTCAGAACTAAGATCCATACCAAAGTTATATTTTTTCTTATGGAACACCGGTATTTTGTTTCATTTTTGGATTCTTGGACAAAAAATAAGGCATTTATTATAAGGGTTTAATATGTTTAAAAGCTTTGGTTTTTCAGATAATTAAAGATATTTAAATGTGCATGCTATAATAAAAAAGTTTGTCAACACCTTGTACATTACTTTTCAGAATTAATTCATGTGCTGACTTTTAAGCCAGAGAAATAAACTTTACTAAAATATTTGATTGCTTCCTTAAATGTATACAGGGGTATCAAAAATTGCTGGTCTATTTTAAATATGTATTTTACATAAAAATCTTCGTTTTTTCAAATGCAACACTATGTATTTTTTAAATAAATCTAAGCAGATTTAAATGCTCTTTCAAACTATATTAGGGTTTCCTATACCTATCTGGCTCAGATTTTGAATAAAAAGCGATTTTTCAATAACATTCTAATCAAGATTCAAGATGGCTGATGTCGCCATGGGAATTTCCCAGTGACACTTAGTAGCTATTTTCAAAATCGACATTAGTTTATGGACTTTATTTAAATTTATAACATGTTATTTTTATTAATTTACCTACAATAAGGTTAATAAGTAAGTATTTATTATTTTATCAAGAAAAATGAAGCACTATCTGCTGGCGGAAGGAATGGATATGTTACTAGTGATTTTATTTTGTGATAACAATTGCTTGTTGGCCTGAAGGGTTTATGCTCAAAGATATCCAAACAGGAATTTTCTTGACAAGAGTTCCTTTGTAAAACTACTTTTTATATTTCACAGAGCTGATAGTGTGGTAAATATGATAAACCTATTAGGCAGAAACCGGTCGTTGGAATTGAAGAAAATGAATTTGGCTTAATTGGCTCTTTTATAGAAAATCCAATATATCTATGAGTCATCGAAATATAAAGCAAAGAACTACTTCTTTATTTTTCTTGATAAAATAATAAATACTTACTTATTTAACTTTGTAGGTAAATTAAATAAAAGCAAACTGTTACAAATTTCAATAAAGTCCATACACTAATGTCGATTTTGAAAATAGCTACTAACTGTCACTAGCAAATTGCCATGGCGACACCAGCCATCTTGATTGCCATTTTATTAAAAGATCGCTTTTTATTCAAAATCTGAGCTAAATAGGTATGGGAAACCTTAATGTAGTTTGAAAAAGCATCTAAATCTGCTTTGACTAATTTTAAAAAATACGGGGAGTTGCATTTGAAATAATAAAGTTTATGAAAAATAAACATTCACAATAGACCAGCAATTTGTGATACCCCTATACAATTTTTTAGTAAAGTTTATTTCTCTAGCTTCAAAGTCAGCACATGAATTAACTCTGAAAAGTAATATACAGGGTATTGACAAACTTTTTTATTGTAACATGCATATTTAAATATCTTTAAATATATCCAAAATTGAAATAAAATACTGGGTGTTCCGTAAGAAAAAATATAACTTTGGTATGGATCTTAGTTCTGACACACCCTGTACATTTGAAAATAATTTTAAATTATGCACATTGCCTCTCTACATATACCCATAAAATTTTTTGTTTCTACATGTTTCCGTTTTCGTATAATCAACCGAGGCGAATGATCGAAAAAAAAGGCGTCAGGGATGGTTATGAAATGAAGATCGCTGTCATTTTTTATATGTAAAACACATGTAAAATTATATGGGAAATGTCAGTGATGTTCATTTCCAAGCAAACGGAACGTTTCCAGGACAACGTTTTTTTTTCGATCATGCGGTATTTCAAACATTTTAATCTATATAGATTTAGTTAGATAAAAAAAACAAACAAGGAAATTCCGGTTATGCCCTAATAGGTGCATAATATGGAATAATAATATCTAATGTCAATAATAACACTGAATGTATCGTATTATCGAAAAAACGGCTGGGAAATGACGATCGACGATATTCCCGTAATAATTTTACATATAAAATGACAGCGATCTTTATTCCAAAACCATCTCTGACGCCGTTTTTTTTCAATTGGATTGTAAAAAACAAAATTCAAAATATGAGGCGGCATTTAATTTTTCATAATATTCGTGAGTTTCACTATTTTTCTGTTATATTTAGTTACTTGGGATATTGTAAGTCAAAATTTTCATTTTATTGTTGGTCCTATTTAACATTTTGCTTTCAACCAATCATTGTTTTATAAATAGAATTCTCAGAATGAGTTTTTAAGGCGATTTTAACTCTCGTTGTTTGTCATCCACTAATTGACTAACAATATAATCAATAATTAATCAATTGGAGGTATTGGCTTATACATACTTTGATCTGATTTTTCTGTACAATTTTTTAATAATCTTAATTAGGGTCTGGTGATCTAATTAGAAAAAAACACAATTTTACCTTGACCTTAATTTCTGCTTGTTATTTGAGTAATAAATTCTCCTAAGACAACAAATTAGATGTCACAATTATTTATATTAGATCCTATTTAAAAATAATATAGTCTTTAAATTTTTTGGCAATGTTGGTTTATTAAATAATAATAATTGCAGAACTAATTTGTTATATTAACATCAAACTTTAAAATCATGAAATATAAACATTTATTAATTTTCTAAGCACGCAGTGTAATGGAAGGAAAATATAAATAAAAAATTAGAAATCAAAATTATTTATATTAGGTACTTTATATTACTATTTAAAAATAATATTTACTTTTA